GCAGGTAGGCAATGGTGGGGGTTGGTCAATGAGATGGGAGGAGTGGATAGGTGGAAGAGAAGATGGACAGGTCAAGGAGGTGGGGATGAGAAGGAGGATTGGTCATGGGATGAGGCTGGGGGTGGGGAGATCTTGAAACTGGTAAAGGCACATTTAGGCCATTGGGCTATAGGGTCCCAAGGCGGAATATGAGGTGCTGCTCCTCCAGTATCTGGGTGGCGTCATTGTGGCACTGGAGGAAGCCCAGGGTGGGCATGTCATCCAGGGAGTGGGAGGAGGTGCTGAAGTGGTTTGCGACTGGAAAGTGTTGTCGTTTGTCGCGAACAGGGCGCAGGTGCTCTACAAAGTGGTCTCCGAGCCTCTGCTTGACCTCACCAATGTAGAGAAGGCCACATCGGGAGCAGCGGATGCAGTAGACCACATTGGCGGATGTGCAAGTGAAACTCTGTCTGATGTGGAAGGTTTTTTTGGTTCTTTGGATGGGGGTGAGGGGAAGAGGTGTAGGGGCAGGTGTGGCACTTCCTGCAGTTGTAGGGAAAGGTGCCAGGGCTGGTGGGGCTAGTGGGGACTGTGGGACGGACGACGGAGTCACGGAGAGAGCGGTCCCTACGGAAGGCAGATGGGGTGGGGAGGGAAATATATCCTTAGTTGTGGGGTCAGATTGCAGGTGGCGGAAGTGGCGGAGAATGATATGTTGAATCTGGAGGTTAGTGGGGTGAAAAGTGAGGACAAGGGGGATTCTGTCTTTGTTTTTGTTGCCGGGAGGGGATTGAGGGCAGACGTGCAGGAAACGCAAGAGATGCGGTCAAGAGCATTTTTGACCACTGAAGAGGGGACATTGCGGTCCTCGAAATAAGAGGACATCTGGGATGTTTGGGAGTGAAACGCCTCATCTTGGGAGCAGACGCGGTGAAGGCGGAGGAATTGGGAGTAGGGGATCACATTCTTGCAGGAAGGTGGGTGAGAGGAGGTGTAGTCTAAAAGCTGTGGGAGTCGGTGGGCTTGAAATAGATATTGGTTTTGAGGTGGTCACCAGAGATGGAGACAGAGAGGTCCAGGAAGGGTTAGCGAGGTATCAGAGATGGTCCAGGTGAAGTTGAGGTTGGGGTGAAAGGTGTTACTAAAGTTGATGAACTGTTCAAGCTCCTTGTGGGAGCACAAGGCAGTGCTGATACAGTCATCGATGTAGCAGAGGAAAAGGTGAGGATAATGCCAGTGTAGCTGCGGAAGAGGGGCTGTTCCATGTATCCTACGAAGAGGCAGGCATAGCTTGGGCCCATGCGGGTTCCCATGGCCACTCCCTTAGTTTGTAGGAAGTGGGAGGAGTTGAAGGAGAAGGTGTTAAGGGTAAGGATGAGTTCAGTTAGGCGGATAAGGGTGTTGGTGGAGGGGGACTGGTTGGGCCTGCGGGAGAGGAAGAAGCGGAGAGCTTCTAGACCATCTGTGTGGGAAATGCAAGTATACAGGGACTGGATGTCCATGGTGAAGATGAGGTGTTGAGGGCCGGGGAACTGGAAGTCTTGGAGGAGGTGGAGGGCGTGGGTGGTATCCCGGACGTAGGTGGGTAGTTCCTGGATCAGTGGGGAGAAAATGGAGTCGAGATAAGTGGAGATAAGTTCAGTGGGGCAAGAGCAGGCAGGGACAATGGTTCGACCAGGGGTAGTCGGATTTGTGGATTTTAAGAAGGAGATAGAAACGGGTGGTGCGGAGTTGGGAAACGATGAGTTTGGAGGCTGTGGGTGGGAGGTCACCTTAGGTGATAAGGTTATGGATGGTCTGGGAGATGATGGTTTGGTGGTCAGGGGTGGGGTCATGATCGAGGGGGCGGTAGGAGGAGGTGTCAGAGAGTTGGTGCCTGGCCTCGGCGATGTAAAGGTCAGTGCGCCATACCACAACTGCGCCTCCCTTATCTGTGGGTTTGACGGTGAGGTTAGGGTTGGAGTGGAGGGAGCAGAGGGCTGTATGTTCTGTGGGGAAGAGGTTGGAGTGGGTGAGAGGAGATTTACCACTTCTCCATTAAGTTTTATTTAAAGATCCAGGACACTAGTCTCCAAGTCTGTTTCAGTCTGCTGGGACCTTTCATACCCTAAACCTGCTCAAATCTGTCCAAATGCATTCAGATCCTTCTAAATACATTCAGATCCATCCAAATCCATTCAGATCCATTGAGATCCTGGACACCAGCTGGCCAGATCCCGGACCCGAAGCCCCAATGTGTTATAAAGCAGAGGTTGACCACCCCTGTGAGAACTAAAACTGAAATACCCAAAGAGGAGCACCTTGCCCTATAATCTGTTAAAAAGGAGTGTGAATAATGATGTAACCTGCCTTTCAGTAACTTCTAGTGGTTAACTAAAAGAAATCCCTGACACTCACTTATATTCAACAAGTAACAATTTATTTATCCAACTCTAACAGTGAACAAATTAATTAAACTATTAACAAACTGAATAAACCTCTTCTAACTACTAACTATTCTTGAATTGAACAAAATTCTAATGGTATGCTGTTCCAATAAATGCAAGTTCCACTTATGTAAAATAAAAATAAAAAATTAGAATTTAGTCTCTCAAAATTACAGCCAGATTATGTCTTCGAGAATGTTCTGTGGCTTCTCTATCGAATTTGGGTCAGGAACACCTTCCCTGTCAATTTTTCTGTAAGGAATATTAACTAGTTGTGCCATAGGTATCTGGTATTTAGATGATGCTTCCTCTAAAACTGGAAAAAACTGTGACAGGCAGAATTTCTTTCTTGAGAGCTGAGAACTGTTAACTTTGGCAGATGGCAGTTCACTCTCCTGTCTTTGTCCAACTATCCTTTTCTTTTATACCCTTGATGACATATCAATTTCTTACATTAGGATTGGTCCTATGTTGTCAAAACCATCAGATTTAAATTTAATTGGCTTTTGGTATCTAAGTGCCTGGTTCAAATTCTTTGGCTAAATTCAAAACTTGTTGTCTTGGTAACAAAACAAAACTGCTGCTTGGCCTGCTAACTATATGGCCTTTTGAAATAAATGTTTCAATTTGGGTGCTTGCTGTGTACTTTCAAACTTTCAAGCTGCTCACAGACATTTTGTTTAAATCTCTAAGCATAGAAAAAGCACAATCTTTTAAAGGAACCACACAATGCTTTCCCCCCAGCATTTTACAAACACCAAATTCTAATGTCCCACCTCCTAATTCACAAGTAGTCTACCCAACTTCGCAACACATGCAAGGTCAAACTGCTACCATCATGATTGCAAAAAATAGCGTTCACAGCATTTTGCAGGATCCCATAGCAGTCCAATAATTTGTCCATCAATAGATTACTGAGATTACTGATGTGTGACTTCGAGGAAGTGGTAGTGGCTACATGGAATATGAATCCGATAATCTTTATCCTTGGTACAGTACCATTCGATTTCCTGTTATTTGTCAAACACCCATGCTGATACAATGATGTTGAAAGCCATGTTTCTGGAACCAAAATTCCTGCAAGACCATTTGTAGTCTTCTTAACTGAAAGTCAATTGTCTCCTGGCAGCCATGCTTAACCACTAGTTCAGCACTGCATAGGAGCAATAAGACAGATAAAGACAATTACAAGGCAGGAATGTTTGGAATACACAGGATAATTATCTGACCTTTGTGTGGAGTATTGAATATATGAATTTATAAAGTTGGTTTCGAATAGTTGTTTGTGAAGAGATTTTTTTCAACATTTCAGCAAGGTGCAGAAATCATTGAATTGTTGCAGCACAGATGGAGGTCATTTGACCTACTGTGTATGTGGTTTCTCTCCCAATGAGCATCTCACTCAGTCCTCATATACTTTTGCTTCCTTTACCAATTACTGTAAATCTGTGCCCTCTTGTGCTCGATCCTTCCATGAGGTGGGAACATTTTCTCGCTATTTACTGTGTCCAAACCTCTCATGATTCTGATTATTTGAATTAAATATCCTCTTAACCTTCTCTTCACCAAGGGAAACAGTGCCAATTTCTCAATTATGTCATGGTTACTGAAATTCCTCATCTCTGGAACCATTCTCGTAAACCACTTCTGCACCCTCTTCAATGTCTTCTTAACATTCCTAAAGCATGGCACCCAGAACTCAATGCAACACTTCAACTGTAGCCACACAGGTACTGTATATAAATTCAATGTAACCTCCTTGTCTTGTACTCTATGCCCCTACTCAATGTCATACAATGAGTGATTGTGCTTGTGCGCGTGGTATTTTAGTCAGATTAGCTGATAACATACAGTCCAGCTGGAAAAGGGATGCATTTTCTTATCTTGACACAACCTCTCTCACCTTTTTCCTCTGCTTCCTGCTCAGCTGCACATAATATGCCTGTTCTGCATAATCTGGTACCTCTCATATCCATGCTCGTGCACTGACCAGTGAGTATAATATCTTAGCACATGGCAAGAGAGCAGAAGCAATATTTGTTCCATGCTATGTCTGTCAGTTCACAAATAAAAGGGGACGTTAGCTCCACCTCTACTACCACACAATAAATCAGGATATGTGTATCTCTTTTTCGCATTCATTACACCCATTATCTTCTATCTTGAAGCCTCTTGGAATGATTCTAATCTTGGTGCTCTACCCAAAACCCCAGTCAAGATCAGGAACCTGCTCGATAAGGAATCACAGATGTAACTCTCTGAGATAATATTAGGGTTGAGTTAATTCATTTTAGTTTGGGCTTTAAATTTAATTGAACTGGCTTCAGCACATGAAACACATAAACAGGATTAGAACAAATGAATTGGAGGAGCCAAATTTAACAAATAAGTTGCTTAGCAAATAGTGCTGTCAGTTACTTTTGTTGAAACTTAAATCATAGGAATTAAAGCCTGATTCCAAGTATATCTGAGAAAACCAGCAAAAACCATAAATTGTGTGGGAGTGGAATGGGATGAAGCTGAATTTTATGCTTGCATCACGTTCATCGTATATATTAATTCTATGTATGGGTTTAAAAGACTTTCTGAACAGACCTGATCCCAAACATCCAATAACATGACATCATCTTCAGCTAAGTCATCTTGTGTAAACTCCCCGGGAACTTCCTCAATCTGAAAGGAAAAAAAAATTGTCATTGTCACATTGCATATTAATATGTCATATAAAACAATACTGGTTAACATTTTTGGTAAACTTATTTTGCAAAATGCTCATAATGCCAGAATTAGAAGCCAGCACTGTAATACATCAAGCTAGATTTATTATGTTTTAAGCAATATGATCATTGCAGACTTGTTTGCATGACTTGTCGCAGAAGCTAAGTCAGCTCGAGTCATCTTACAAATAATAATCAAATTGAAGTTTACATTTGAAACATCTGAGGTACATGCGATATTTACGCCCGGATGATAAATAGATGACTCCCAAAAGATATCAAATGAAAGCAGATCACACACTTTCAGAGAATCACAGCCATGTTACAATCAGTGTAGCTGAGAAAATTCATAAACATGCAGTCCATGTGGAATTCTTCAAATTTAATTTAAAGTAATGAGGCACAAATACCTTATCCCGGAGTTTCACGTCTCCACCAATATTGAAATGGAAGCCAGTATTAGAAATGGTGGATGAGACCTGATTCCAGGATTCCGGCCCCTTTCTTATTGTTTAGAATTTTTCTGCTCATGGTATAAGGGTTCAGGGAGTGAGCCTTTGCCGACAGAATTGTGCAAGTCAGTACTTCAGATTGTCCACTAATTTCATGTAGTCTGGTCAGTTTTGGTAAATGGGCTTCATGTCACCTTAGAGGAGTAGGGAATTATGGGGAACCCCCAATCCTAAGTGGGGAGCCAAGTAAAAGTCACCTGGTACCGGAATTCTTTTACTGACAGCCTTTGAAATACATAAAACACCTGACCTTAATGGTTGAATATGTGCATTTTAAGTTATATGTACTTTAACTGCAATGATTAATTGAAAAGCTCTTTCCACCAAAGGTAAGTCAACCATCAAATTAATGAACATTATGTCAAAGTTGGCATGCAATAGCACTCTTATTCCAAATGAGAAAGTGCCATAGTGCATTCAAAACTATAGAACATTATATTGGGAAATCCTCTGTCATGTTTTGAACTAAGATTTAAATATTTGATGATCTTTAGCTTTGAAAAAATTGTCTTGGTGTTGAACATTAAACAAATACGAGCATGTGGTAGATTGACAATCTGCATGCAAAGGAAACAAGATATCAACTGCACCTTATAAAAGGGTCATAAAGGGTTTCCACTTCAATGGACTCCACTATTAACATTTTCCAGGATTTGTTTTGACAGTTAATGCCCTTATGAATGATTGGTTGATTTCCCAAGTGTGCAAAAACAGTTATCTTAATGGGAATGGATATGGTGCTGTTTTCACATTGTTAATGGTTAGTATAGTTATATAGTTTTAAGAAGTTATTAAGGAATGTCTGTTGATGTGTTGAAAATAAACAGGTGTTTGTTCTTTTAACAGATTGATCATATTAGGTAGTGTCGTAGAACAGAGGGACCAAGGGGTTCAGTTACATAATTCTCTGAAGTTTGCATCACATAGAGACGAGATGGTTAAAAAGGCATTTGGCATGCTTGCCTTCATTGCTCAGTTCTTTGAGTATAGGAGTTGGGAAGTTACATTGAGGTTGTGCAGGACATTGGTGAGGCCTCTTCTGGAATACAGTGTTCAGTTCTGGTCATCCAGCTATAGGAAGGATATTATTAAGCTGGTGAGGGTTCAGAAGAGATTTACCAGGATGTTGTTGGGTTTGAGTTATAAAGAAAGGCTGAATAGGCTGGGACTTTTTCCACTGGACCATAGGAGGTTGAGAGGCGACCTTATAGAAGTTTATAAAATAATGAGGAGTACAGATAGGGTGAATGGTAGTTGTCTTTTCCCGAGGATGGGGGATTTCAAGATTAGGGGGCACATTTCTAAGGTGGCAGGAGAGAGATTTAAAAAAGACATGAGGGGCAAATTTTTTACACAGACGGTGGTTCGCGTGTGGAATAAACTTCCTGAGGAAGTGGTGGATGTACGTAAAATTACAATGTTTAAAGGACATTTAGATAAGTACATGAATAGGAAGGGTTTGGAGGGATATGGGCCAGGAGCAGGCAGGTGGGACTAGTTTAAGTTGGAATTAGGTTTGGCATGGACTAGTTGGACCAGAGGGTCTATTTCCATGCTGTATGACTCGATAACTCTATCTGAAAGTGATGAATTTAATGAACTACAGAGAATTGGGCTGGAAAATGGGATGACCTGCTATGAAGAAGGGTCAATGGACCCAAAATATTAATTGTGCTTTCTCTCCACAGATGCTGCCAGACCTGCTGCATTTTTCCAACAATTTCTGTTTCTGTTAACTCTTTCAGGAGCTGATACTGACACGATGGGTCAAATGGCCTTCTTTGGTACAGTAAAGTCCATGATTCTATCATGTCAGGGGATTTACATTTTTTGAATGGGGTTTCATGGAAGAGTTTATGCTTGTGAATAATGAAATACGAGTATGGAAGTTCTATTGAATTGTTAACATTTATTCTTAATGTGCATTTTAAAGATATCTAGAGCTCTGTTCTGAGTGGACACTAGGGTAAGTGACTATGATGGTCACATGCTGCAGCAGGGAGGCAACATGAAAATGCTATGTTGGCACCAGGGGCATTGAGGGGCATTTGGAGAGTGGGGGAGGGATCGACAGCTGAAGCTTTTGGGGTATGATAGTCATCCATACAACTGGTTCCTCTGCTTTTTGTTGGATAAATATCCATATTCAGCCAACATTTATAACAGTAAGGCTAGCTAAGTTATGAATGAACAGTTGAAATGGTGGTCCTGACAATGAAAACTATTAGATGGAAATAATTTAAAACATGGATATAGAAGATTTCAATTGATGGATCTATGACTATTTACTTTAGTAGTCTGTTCCATTGTGGGATTTTTTTTGGAAGGAAAATCGTTGATACATTGGAAACAAATAGTCTCTGCAGTTGTGTGGATGATGATCTTGTGTTTTGCCATTGCTTGAGGGCAGCAAGTACATGTTGCTGTTGGTTATCAGCAGTCCATTCCATAGATTTTAGAACATGTTCCATCTAACTAGGTCAATGTCCCTGTAAGGAGAGGTGAGTGTACCGGCCTGCCAGCCTCCAGATATGGTGAACCTGACTCAACATCATCTTGCCTTCCCAGAACAATAATATGGTGAGCAGGAGCCCTTTAAAGGAGATGGCTCTGCCAGATCAGGAAGATACCAGCCTCCACTTTCCTGCCATCTCCATGAAAATCTGCATCTGAGTTTTTTTCCGGACCGATTTATTTGTCTGCACTAGGTCAATTTGTACTTCAGCACCACTCCAAAGGCACTGACAGTCTTTCTCACTCCAATGATAATTCCTCAAGGAGACGCTGTATCAGTGAATCAGGCTTTCCATTCTTAGGTACATATTCTTTTGGCAGTTGGTTAATTTATTTTGCTGCACTTCTAGCCTGAGGATACCAAGGTAACTCAGCAAAAACTAAACAGGAATCCAATGCCACTTCTTATGCATTTACTTCAGAATCATTGAGGATAGGCTTCAGGATAAACATAGTTTTCACATGCACACTACAAAAGGAAGTGCGGAGAACTCCTGTAATGAACACTGTAGAACAGAATCTCTAAAAATGCTTTTAATTTGCAGAAACGATGTTGTACATTTAGTTGGCACCTTACCTTTTACCTCAATAAGGTCGGTTTTCCAACAGTCATTGTTCCATAAAAAAACTAAGAATATATAAAACTTGGAAATGGGTAACTTTCCAGTCCCTCCATGGACATTGTTAAATGTGGCATAGAAAATGATGTAAAGTATTGAAACAATAAGATACACCTTTTTAGTGTTGCTTTGTAAAGATGACTTCAAGCGGATATTGCAATTGAGGATCGGTATGTATGTGCAAAATAGCAGAAATATCTGCAGTGGGAAGTTGCTTTGACAATTCAATGGTAAATTTGTTGCATGGTACATTATAGAGCCCTACAAGTCAAAAACTCACAAATTGGATATTAATCTATAACGAGGTAGCCAGATGAAACATTGCAGCCCAAATGCTACAGTCAGACTCACAGGGCATGAGTTTTGCCTGTTTATGTGAGGCAAGATCACATCACAAGATCTCAGGGTGACATCTTCCAGCAGCAAATCATTCATGAACTGCCATCCATAACATCAAGGGGCTATCCTGGCAGCCAGCCCAGCGTGTTGTGGACATACATTTCCAATCACTGCCAGGACTTGAACACTTTTGATAAAATTCTACCTCCTGTTCTTGAGCAAGGCTTCTCACTCTCTAACCATTCTAGGCCTCAAACTTCCTTCAATTAAATATTATGTATTCACTGATACGAGGAGCTAGTGAACACAGACAGCTACCACTCACAAGTCATTTGCTTATTGACCGCAGTGAGAAATAAAACAATTGTATTTCAGACATCAACGTGCTATAATTTCATGTACACACATTTACAAGATAGTAGAAAACAGGTAAGAAAAAAGTATGATTAGATACAGGAGCTTTCACTCTGGATTGACATGAATACTAAACCAAAGTTATTTTAAAAAGAACTTACAATGAAGCATCCAGTCTTATTTGAACAAGCAAATAAACGCGGCTGAAAGTCATCTGCACTGCTTTGCAACAACGCTGAGGTTTGATACTCTTTCTTGCCACCAAGTGCATTCCAAAACACATCTGGTGAGGGAAACATTTTAGAAATATTCACAAAGAATTTATGTACAAAAACGTAAATTAATGTGCTTTATATCCTATGGGATTTCTTATGGGTAAATCTGATTTTTATTGGCAAAGTCTGATTTGTGTTGAATTATTTGGAGAGTTTTTTTTGCTGTGAAACTTAGCAAGTTTGCTTGTCATATCTTAAAAATTTGCCTCATTAATTACTTACCTGTCCATACAGTGTCTCTCGTGTCCGATTTCCCTTCCATCTTACCACTAAGCAGTTAAAAGCCCTGAACAGTTCTAAAAAAGAGTCATATCGGACTCACAACATTAAGTCTCTTTCTCACCCCACAGATGCTGCCAGACCTGCTGGGTTTCTCCAATACATTCTGTTTTTTGTTAAAAGCCCATTGTGCACCTGGATGAGAATTGTAACTGCCCTGCTTGTCAAAGAAAGGGAATATGACACTGTGGTTCTCCAACAGGGACCTGGAGATTCTGGTGGATAGGATGGTCCAGAGAACAGGTGTCCTTTTCCTGGACCCTGCGTCACCAGACTCTGCAAGCCTGTTTGGAGGTCAGCATTCAGGTCGGTGCGATCTGTAGGGTGTGGAGGAATGGATAGCAATGCAGAAAGAATGTCAATGACCTTCACCAAGGTGAATGCCACTCATCTTTCCATGCCTCATACCCACTCTATCTTTGCTCCTGCACCCATCTCCCACTAAGTTTCAGGCTTTGCCACTCACACTATTGTATGTAAAATATTCACAAACACACTCCTGTTTCCCCTTCCCCACAATCTCCCATGTGATTAACCCTGCATGCCCCATTGTAATTTCTCTCATTGGCCCCCTTTTGCTCATTATAGGAGAAGACAGCCCATAACAGGGCAGAGAGAGCCCATATAGTGGACTGGTACCTAACATCTGTGTACTTACCTCTGCAAGATGAAAATCCTGGTCCTTATAGGAGAAGGGAGAAAAAAAACCACTTCTGACTAGATGCAGAAATATCCATGTTTCATCAACTGAGTAAATGCCACTGTCCATTCCACAGAAATGATCACATTAACCCTGTTGTCACTCTCAACCAGTGCACACCACTTCTAACCACTGATCAGAATGCCTTCATGTCTCTTTTGTCTTGCAATTACTGCTGTCCTCTTCATGGCTCTCCCAGAAATGCCATTCTCAACCTCTGAGGATGAGAGCAAGAAGGCTTCAGAGGAGGCATCAGCAAAGCTACCTCTTGCACTCCCCATGAGCCCAGGTACACAAACCTTGGTGTGAACGATTATGATCAAGAGTGATGGTGCAAGATGCTCTTGATATTGAAATGAGCTTTGCCAGGTATCTTGTCTGATTCTGCCACGCATCTTACAAGTTGTTCAGATCCCGATAAGATTTCACCCTCTGATATTTAACAAACAAAATGTTCATTCACAGATGGCAATCTTACCAGGTTCTTCCCCTTCACCAATCCTGGTTGCCTTGCATTGTAGGATAGATGTAAGATATTTAGCTCCTTTCTCTTCCTCACCACTGGCTCCTTTTCCAATCCAAAGATATGCATTGTTTGGTAGTTTTAGCACAAAAACATCATTAGAGTTCAGAGACTGAGCATCCACATCAACCTGATAGCAGAACAGACAAAAAAAGGCCATTGAATTCTGTGCATTCATCTTTTGTTAATTTGCATGTCAGGTAAATATTACAGGTTGGTACCAGTGACCTATCGCTGAGAGATAAGCTGAAGTAGAGAGTTTGCCATTTATAAACATAAACAAAATATCTACAATGCAAAAAATGCACATGTTTAACCATTCAGTTAGCAACATTATCTTGGATATCTTATTATGAGGATAAACTGTGTCAATTTTTATATACTATGGATGAGTTTGGAAGAAGAACGCTAAACAAAAGTAATGGTGATATTCTTCTCAAATATAGGAGTGATTTCAGAAGACCTGAGCAATGTAAATAAAATGTCCCTTTCTAAAAAGGAAGAGGCATAAACTTAGCAATTGGCCAGTCAGCATAATATCAGAAGGAAAACAGTTAGAGCTGAATCTGACCATATTTTGAAAAGAATCATTTTAATTGAGTTACATGAAGGGTTTCTGTCCAGGCCGAGAAGGTTTTCTCATCAATCATCCCACAGCCATCTCAGTAATTACCTACCAAGCTCAATGACACCCCTCTCTCTGATGTCAGCCCGATTCCACCACTTGCCACAACCGGAAGTACTCTGCACTTCCGGAATATCCCGCGATCTACGGCATGAGTGCCATCTTTAAAAGGCCCAGTCAAGCACTGTCTGCCTGGATCTGCCCTGCATGATGCATGGCATTTGTCCTGGTCATAGCAGTTAAGGTGATATCTGTGACCCGCCTTGCAGACAGGGGTCTGGAGGCCCTGGTGGATGGATTGCTGAGATGAGTGATGTCTACTTCCCACAGGAGGTCTCCACACCAGACCTTGCCAGCCTGGTCTGCAGTTGTCGGTGCAGTCTCAGCTTTCCGGAGGAACACTCAGCTCTGTAGAAGAAGGTCAATGATATTCTCCACCTAACGGAAGTGCACCACTTGTCCTCTGCTATTTCCCACTTATTCTTGGTCTGCTAATGTTCACGCCTCCCACCTCTACTCCCTCGCTCTATTGCATGTTAGATTTTCCCTCACTTGCTTGCCTTTATTGGTCAGTGCATTGAATATAGGAGTTGGGAGGTCATGTTGCAGCTGTACAGGACATTGGTTAGGCTGCTTTTGGAATACTGAATGTAATTCTGGTCTCTCTGTTATAGGAAGGTTTATGGGAAAGGGCTCAGAAAAGATTTAGAAAACTGTTTCCAGGTTTGGAGGGTTTGAGCTATAGGGAAAGGTTGAATAGGCTGGGCCTGTTTTCCCTGGAGTGTCGGAGGCTGAGGGGTGACCTTACAGAGGTTTATAAAATCATGAGAGGCATGGATAGGGTAAATAGACAAGATTTTTTCCCTGGGGTGGGGGCATCTAAAACTAGAGGGCATAGGTTTAAGGGGAAAAATTTAATTAGGATCTAAGGAGCAACTTTTTCATGCAGAAGGCAGTGCGTGTATGGAATGAGCTGTCAGAGGAAGTGGTGTAGGATGGTATAATTACAACTTTTAAAAGGCATCTTAATGGGTATACGGATAGAAAGGGTTTAGAAGGACATGGGCCAAATGCTGGCAAATAGGAATAGATTTATTTAGGATATCTGGTCGGCATGGACGAGTTGAACCGAATGGTCTTTTTTCCATGCTGTATATCTCTATGACTCTAAGACTCTGAATTCCTCCACAAAATTTACTGGTTGAGGGGTGGGGGTCCTTTATGAGCAGTCACCATGTAGGAAGGAAATCTGCAGCAGGGGTGGGATCCCTCATTGTCAAATATTTAGCTTTTGATTGGAGGGGCCCAATATTAGAAATGAGATGGTTTAGCATCTTCTCTCTTTTTTGGTGGTCTGCATTGCCTTTAACATGATTTGCATGTAAATTAATCAACTGAAAATTATGAGTGATTTAATTGTGATGGTTAATTAATGAAAATTGCCACAGGTGATTTCACAGAATTATTAAATCCTACAGTGCAGAAAGAGGCCATTCAGCCCATCAAGTCCACACCAACCCTCCCATTCAGATCAGTCCCCCACTGTGTCACCATAACCCTGCATTTTCCATGTCTAATCCACCTAATCTGCACATCTGTGGGAGATCTGTGGGACTGTGGGAGGAAACTAGAGCACCCGGAGGAACCAGCGCAGACACAGGGAGAACGTACAACTCCACACACACAGTCTAAGGCTGGAATCGAACCGGGGTCCCTGGCACTGTGAGGCAGCAGTGCTAACTACTGCACCACCATGCACCCTTTGCTGATGGGAAAAACCATTTGGTTGTGTGTGGCAACAGTTCTAGATATTGATAAAATAAAATAGAAATAGCGCAGCCCGCTGAGAATGACTAATTTTTCCCTTGCTATCGACCCCTCCTCTATTCTCCCATGACTTACACCCTGTTGCATTCATCCTCATCCTGGCCTGAATCCCTCACTGATCCTAAGTCTCTGGTGGAAGCTTACTAGAAGCTATCACTGTTCCCCAGGAAATAAGTACCAATGATGTGAATAACTTTCTATAGTCCAGGATGAGTTGTCAAACTTCCAAAGCATTACATCAAAGTTTGAAAGGTTAATCCTGTAAACTCTGTTATGCCTGTTTGCATACTTATTGAAAATAACAACATGTGACTATGTACAACCATAATTCCTCTTTGGGATAAGTTTTTACCTATGGGAAAAGGGGGATGTTGTGATATGATTCACGGTCAGTATGTCAATAAATCTTTTAGAGATATGTTTATGATATCAACACTGAATCAAAGCACATGACCTGAGAGTATAAAGGTCTCGCACTCCATGTTAACTTGGATCACTTGAAAGATGACATATTAATTGGGGTTGGAGGGAGGGCATTGCTCTTTGTAACTGAATAGTTTCATATGAGTTTGGACATGGATGTGTCCGTGAATGTAATATTAGTACAAGTTAGTGAGGTGTAATGAACGTCTGTTGAATTCTCCAGTGACACATCATCCAAGCCTTTTTTCCTATGTTGTGATGTACAACAGAACAAGTGTTAAAAGATACCCTGCTGGAGGCAAACCCACCTCAACATCTCTCATTGGCAGGAACTCCCACTCTCAGAAGCTTCCAGTCATTGTAATTAGTTGTTAATTCCAAAAGTCCCCAGCAGTGCCAGAAGTCCCTAATGGACAAAGTTGAGACTGCAGGCTGACCCATGAAGGAGGTCCAATGGATCCCAAATCCAGATAAACTGGAAGGCATCAGGCAAGAAGTAGTATTAGACAAACTAATAGGCCTAAAGTGTAATAAGTCCCCTGGTCCTGATGGCTTGCATCCTAGGATCCTAAAAGAGTAGCTACAGAGATAGTGGATGCATTGGTTGCAATTTTCCAAAAATCATTGGATTCTGGAGAAGTACCAGAGGATTGGAAAACTGCTAATTTGATACCCCTATTCAAAAAGGAAGAGAGACAAAAGCGGTGATTATAGGCTGAGTAGTCATTGTTGAAAAGATATTGTTGAACATCTACAGTTGAAAAGGTATTGCAACTCCTTTTTAAGGAAGCAATACAGAACTTTTAGAAAATCATAATCTAATCAAGCAGAGTCAGCATGGCTTCATGACAGGGAAATTATGTCTGACTAATTTATTACAGCATTTTTGAGGAAGTCTTAACTAGAGTGGATAGAGGGGAACCAGTAGATGGACTTCCAGAAGACACTCAACAAGGTACCTCACAATAAGTTAAGTAATAAGAGCCCACGGTGTTGGAGATGGCATATTGACATGGATAGAGAATTGGCTGATGGGGAGGAAACAGCCAATGGGGATAAAAATTAATGACTTGGAGGAAGGAAGTGAATGCACTCTAACCAAATTTGCAGACAAAAATAGGTGGAAAGGCAGGTTGCGTGAGGTATACTAACAGTTTACAGAGAGATATTGCTAGATAAAGTAAGTGAGCAAAAAGTTGGCAAATGGAGTACAATTGGGAAAATGCGAAGTCGTTCATTTTGGAAGGGAGAACAAAAGAATAGAATATTATTTAAATGGAGAAAACCTGCAGAAAGCTCCAACACAAAGGCACTTGGGTGTACTTTTGCATGAAACACAGAAAGCTAGCACACAGGTACAGCAGTTAATCAGAAGGCTAATGGAACATGCATCTTTAGATGATACACACATGCTGTTGAGTGTCAGTAGTGAAAGGAAAGAATGTATGTGGATGTGATGCCAATTAAATATTTCATTACACTCCTGACTTGTTCCGTGTAGATGGTGGGCAGGCTTTGGAGAGTCAGGAGGTGAGTTACTCACAGCAATATTCCTAGCCTTAGACCTTTGTTTGTAACCATTATGTTAAAGTGCTGAGTCCAGTTGAGTTTTTGGTCAATAGCAACTCCAAGGATGTTGATAGTGGGGGATTCTATGATGGTGATATCATTGAATATCAAGGTACAATGTTAGATTCTCTCTTGTTGGAGATTGTCATTTCCTTATATTTGTGTGGCATGAATGTTACTTGTCACTTGTCAGGCCAAGCCTGGATACTGTCCAGATCCTGCTGTATTTGGACAAGGACTGCTTCAGTATCTGAGGAGTTGCAAACAGTGATGAACATTGTGCATTTATCAGCAGCTACCCCCATTTTGACCTTATGATGGAGGGATGATCATTGATGAAGCAGCTGAGGATGGTTGGGCTTTGGACGCTACCCAGAGAAACTCCCGTGGAGATGTCCTGGGCTTGTGATGATGACCTCCAACAATCACAACCATCTTCTTGTGTGCAACGCATGACTTCAACTAGTGGAGAGTTCTCCATCTGATCTGCATTGACTTCAGTGTTTCTAGATCTCTTTGATGCCATACTACCTGCTGATGCCAACCTTATTATGGCCCGGGCAGAGTAACAATGGGTCAATTAGACTTTTAGCAATTGATACTTAATTATTTGTTTACATATGGCCGACACACTTCTGTTTCAGCACCTTCCCACCTCGCCCTGTAACATGGGAGTGAGATCAACAGTGAAAAGAAAGGTGGTGGGCTAATAAGCCAGCCTCTTTCATTGCCCTCACTGAAAACACACCTGGCAAGGCCCTGTAATGTTCCATACCATGATTTTGATCTGTAGGTATAGCAAGGAGAAAAAGTACCCAGCAGTAACACCAGGCATACTTTCAAACCTATGCTGATCTGAGTAATACTGTTTTATGTTTTTGTATACCAATTACTGGCTATTCATGCTGATATGCTTCCCCTTACGCAATGTGCCTGAATTTTCCTAGCTTCATTTGCAAACACTATCAAATGCTGTCTGAAAATCCACACACAATATCTATTACATACTATTTATTTATCCAATTAGTTATTTCTTCCAACAAGTATGTTACTTTTTTCAAACTAATCGAACGAAGGTCACATTGACAACTGAGTAATTAAAACAATGACTCCCATTAATGTCTGCACATCTCTGAATGACCTTCCTACCTCCACAATTCTGGTAATAGTAGCCAGATTCCTTCTGATTTGAAAGAGGCGCTTTGAAGGGACAGGGGATTGTCCTCCTTTCCGTGATGTTCCATCCTTATAAATAATAAGTGGCTTGTCTTTAAATAAGCTTAGCAGATGAGAAGGTTCCTTCCCTTGTGTCACCCGAACCTTTAGAAGAAAGAAGAACAATAGCAAACTAATCCAAAGTGATAAATGCCATGCTCTAAAATAATGAAGCAGTCACATTAATAGTAATTTCTGCACAAGTACAATTAATGTCTTTCTCATCAATCATTTGGTTAAGCTACTATGCAGTCATAAACAACCACTTAGCATTCTTTTCATTTTACTTAAATTTCACTTTTTGGACAAAATTACTCATCGTTTCAGCATGGACACATGCAACCTCTTTGTTTAAGCAATGAATACTTGCATCAGGCAAATGCATATCAAAACATAGTCATAAAACAAATCAAACATTTGGAATTTCAAGCAGGTCTAAATGATATTTGTTACTTTGATAAAAAGGTTCTTTGATTTGAATCATGCTTTATTGGCTAACAGGTTACACGCTGTAAAATCGTTGTCAAAAAATTGAGCAGCATTATTTGATTGTTGTTACATTTGATCCTTTACATGAAGTTTGCAATTGCTCTCACACAGCCTCGACTCAGGCTGCAGTCTTGTGATGTTAATGAGCAACTTAATAGTGCCAGGGAATCCAAAACCTTTTCTTTTTATCAGATTTGGGTGTCGCTGGTAGGACCAGCATTTATTACCCATCCCTAATTGCCCTCGAGAAGGTGATGGTGAACTGTCTTCTTGAACTGCTGCAGTCCTTTGGATGTAGGAACACCCACCATGTTGTTAAGGAGAAAGTTGTGGGATTTTGATGCAGCAACAGTAAGGAAATGGAGATGCAGTTCGAAGTCAGGACGGTTGTGGTTTTTAGGGGAACTTGAATGTCATGCTGTTTCCATTCATCTGCTGCCCCTTTCCACCTAGATGGCAAAAGCCACATGTTTGGAAGCTGCTGGCAGAGGACCTTTGGTGAGTTACTGCTATGCACCTTGGGAGGTGGGTACACTGTGTTGCTCCTGTGCATTGGTGGTGAAGGAAGTGATTATTGAAGATAATGGATGGGGTACCAGTCAAGTGGATTGCTTTGTCCTGGATGGTGTTGAGCGTATTGAGTGTTGTTGAAGTTGCACTCATCCAATCAAGTGGTGAATATTCTATGACACTCATGACTTGTGCCTTACAAATGTGGGACAGGCTTTGTTGAGTCAGGAGATGAGTTATTCATTAGAATTCCTTGTTTCTGACATGGTCTTGTCACCAGAGTACTTATGTGGCTCATCCAATCCTGTTTCTAGTCAATGGTAAGCCCCAGAATGTCAATAGTAGGTGTTTCAGCATTAGAAATATCACTGATCGTGTTTACACTATGGCCTTTCAAATGTTCTTCTAAGCAGTTTTTAAATGTCTTGACAGCCCTGACCTCTATCAACCTTTAAGGAAGTGAATTCCAGATACACACTGCTCCTCAAATCCCCTCCAAACCTCCTGCTCTTTACCTTAAAAATCTGCCCCTGGATGATGACCCTTCCAAAAAGGGGAAATGTTTTTCCCTCCCTACCCTATCTACGCCCCTCACAACCTTGTACACCTCAATCAGATTCCACCACCACCTTCTCTGCTCTAAGCAAAACACTCCAGCCTATCTAGTCTTTCTTCAAAGCTGAACTGCTCCAGCCAATCCTGGTCAATCTTTTCAGTACCCTTTCTAGTTCAGTCACATCCTTTCCGTGGCAATGTATCCAGTTGTGGATTACCCAATGTTAATCAACAGCTCCATTATAACCTCCTTGCTCTTGTATTCAATGCCTCAACTAATTAAAGGCAAGTATCCAATATGTGCTTTTAACCACTATAGCTAGCTGTCTTGTTATCTTAAAGGATCTATGCACACTAAGGTCCTTTTGAACTTCAGTACTTCAATGTGCACTCTCTTGCCTTATTAGTCCTCCCAAAATGCACCTCACACCTTTCAGGATGAAATCATATTTTCCACTGTTCAGCCCATCTACATCATCCTGTAGTCTAAGGCTCTCCTACTTGTAGCACCATAGAGTCATAGAGTCAAAGAGCACAGAAACAGACCCTTCGGTCCATCCAGTCCATGCCAAACATAATCCCTAACTAAACTAGTCCCACCTGCTCCTGGCCCATATCCCTCCAAACCTTTCCTATTCATGTATCCACCCAAATGTCTTTTAAACACTGTAATTGTACCTGCATCCACCACTTCCTCAGGAAGCTCATTCCACACGTGACCCTCTGTGTAAAAAATTTGCATCTTAAGTCTTTTTCAAATTTCTCTCCTCTCACCTTAAAAGTGTGTCCCCTAGTCTTGAAATTCTCCATCTTAGGGAAAAGACAACTATCATCAACTCTATCTATACCTCACATTATTTTATAAACTTCTATAAGGTTGCTTCTCAACGTCCTTCGCTCCAGTGACAAAAGTCCCAGACTAACCAGCCTTTCTTCATAACTCAAACCTTCCATACCCAGCAACATCCTGGTAAATCTTTTCTCAACCCTCTCCAGCTTGATAATATCCTTCCTACAACTGGGTGACCAGATCTGGACACAGTATTCCAGAAGAGGCCTCACCAATGTCCTGTACTACCTCAAAATAACACTTGTCGTACCAAAATACAATACCTTGCATTTATCCAGATTGAACTCCACCTGCCATTTTTCAGCTCATTGACCCATTTGATCAAGATCACTTTGTAATCTTGGAGAACCTTCTTCACTGTCTACAATGCCACTAATTTTGGTGTCATCCGCAAACTTACTAAGCATGCTTTCTGTATTCTTATCCAAATCATTGATATAAATGACAAACAAAAGAAGACCCAAAACCAATCCCTGTGGAACACTGCTGGTGACAAGCCTCCAGTCTGAGAAGCAACTCTCCACCGTTACTCTCTATCTCCCGCCGTTAGGCCAATATCTGCAAATTTACTGAACATACCTCCTATTTGGGTCAGGATAGTTAAAGCACTCTAAAACAATAAGAGACCCAGCACTGAACTCAGGTACATCACTGGAAACAGGCACCCAGTCACACAAAACACCCTTTAACCACCAAGTTCTGTTTCCTGCCACTAATCCAATTTTGGATCCAATTTGTACTGGTTTCCATTGGACTCTTAGCTTCTTAACCAGACTACCACTTGAGCCTTTGTCAAAGACCTTACTGAAGTCCATGTAGACTACATCAATTGCACGACACTCATCTACATACCTATCTATATATAATCTAATTGAAAAATTCAAATTTGTTAAAGATGATCTTTCCCTTTCAAAGTGATGTTGACTGTCCTTAATTAATCCTTGCCTCCCTAAGTGGAGATTAATTCTGTCTTTAGAGTTTTTCCCAATAGACTCATTAGCCTGGTTTATCTGTACTACCCTTCTTGAATAATCATACCACATCAGCTGTTGTCCAGTTATCTGGCACCTCTCCTGTGGTCAGAGAAGATTTGATTCCTAGTAATGCAAAGTAATGAATTGAAGACTGTGAGTGCAAGGTCATAGATAGGGTGAAAATAAATATTTTTGAGTAGTTTGTCAGTCAAGGAGGAGCGCTCCAGCTCCAGCTGCTCCTGGCCTCACCAAAAATGATGTGCTCTTTCCCAGTAAGCAAAACAAAATTGAAAAACTCTGGATGCTGGAAAACAGGGAAAAAAAGACAGAAATTGCTGGAGAAACTCAGCAGGTAAGCGGCATCTATGGAGAGAAAGCAAAGTTAATGATTCAGGTCCTGTGATCCTGCTTCAGAACTGATTGTACTGAGGAAATGGTCGGTATACATTTCCCATTTCCCTATTTCCCAGCCTGTGTTGTGACTGGCCTCTAAAGGTTACTAAAAGGACTACTAACTAGTTTGTTCACTCCCAGTTCAAATTGAGAGAATGTGTGCAGCACAGGCTGTGGTCATTTGTGTCTACAAATTACAGATCATGTCTTATATACTATAGGAGCAATCTTACAAAATTTTATTCCCGGCACAGAGTGGCTGCTTCGATTGTTACAGCATGTTTTTAAATAGAAAGTCAAGAAAATCCAAACACTTCAGTTTCTGATTTTCACTCTTGGTGGAAGTGATGACTTTGAAAATACATACTTAGAACATGGTTTCCTTTAGGCTTGACTGCAATCCCAGTTGTAACCATTATATGATCTGTTGCCTTCTTACTAAAGCAACAAATTCATCTTAATATTTGGTAATTATGTTTTATTTCTCTGGTAATATTTGTAGTTTATTTGATGCTTGTATGATGACAAATGATTTGTCGCTAGTAATCTTTAGCATTAAGACAGACTGACCTACATTTTGCAGAAACAAAAACACAAATTGCTGGAAAAACACAGCAAATCTAGCTGCATCTGCGAGAGAAATCAGAATGAATGTTTCAGGTCCCGTAATCCTTCAGAACAGTTCTGAAGTAGGGTCATTGGACTCGAAACGTTAACTCTATTTTCTCTCCACAGATGCTGCCAGACCTGCTGAGCTTTTCCAGCAATTTCAGTTTTTGTTGCTGAATTCCAGCATCTGCAGTTCTTTTGGGGTTTTTTCTACATTTTACAGTGGCTGTTTTGCAACTATAACTGTCAATTCATCTCTACACTTTCCTTTAGAGCTTTATAATCTCATTAAATCAGATTATTTTCTGAAATCCCATTCAGATATCTTTACAAGCATGAGAACCAGCCTCTTGTATTTATATTTCTTCTTTATATTGACAGGAGTCTTCAATGATACAACATTGACAGCTGCTTATAAACAGAAGCACTTACTTGAACAGCTCGCCCACCGAGTGATTGATCAAGATTGACTGTGAGGAATGCTGACATGGTCAGTTCATCTTTAGTTGCATGGGCTCCTTGCCTGAAATAAATCAAACTGATCTAATTAATTTTCTTTTTCTTCATAAATCAGGGGCTGAAGAGAATTTTTTTTTGTATAAAATTGGAGGGGATAGAAATACAGTATTTGACGTCTATGTGAGGCCAATCTTTCAGTTACATGCAAACTGCTGCTTAGCTACCATGGGGTCATTTCCACTTTGGCCAATGATGATATTGAGCACCTGTATAATGACTGTAACGAGGTCAGTCAAAATATGAGTTCCTTGATTGGGGCTGTTAATCTGATCCAATCAGGGAGCCCTGGCTGATAATTATAAACAGGAGTGTCAGACATCTTGTTTACTCCGAGACCTGGTACTGAGGGAGCTGGATTAGTGTCAGGAATTCTCTAAGTGTAAATAAAGGGTTACGGGATACCGGCCTCTGTGGAATTATTTCAGTGGCGATGAGAAAAACACGGTCCTGAAGAAATTCGCTCATCTTTGACTTGGGCTAAGTATTTCTGGCATTATGCCATTATTTGGAAAACTTGACTTGTTCGGTCCTGCTATTGAAGTACGTGTTCAAATATTGCTCAAAGGTTTCAGGATGCCTTCTGAATATTACTTTTCTTCCCCGTAAAAGATGAATGGGAGAAAAAGACAAAACTTAACTGTACTCTGAACATTTTTAAAAATTCATTTACGTAAGTGCCCTCTTTCCTTTTTTCCATTTGTGGAAATTTACAATGTTTGTGACATGTAGCAACTCCAATTTGGAAGCAGTGCTGAAAATGATAATAGGACAGAATATATGGCGAGTAGGGAACTTAAATATCCATCACCAACAGTAATTCAGCAAGTCCGTTACTGAATCAGCTGGCCAATTCCTGAAGGACTAGAATTCCTGAATTCCTGCTAGACTGGACTTCTATAAAAGGGTAAGGGAATCCGCAGCATAGAAATCCTGTATAATCTGTTAGTCACACATCTATACAAATGCACCTGTCAATAACAGAATTAGTAGGAGTGACCACTACAATGTCTTTGCGGAAATGAAATCCAGCCTTTATGTCAAAGATGCCACATGTTGAATGACACCACCATGTAAAGTGAGGCACTTTAGAACAGAAGCTTTAGCATATGCGTACTTTTATGCGAAACATTGGAATCAAGCTACAGGAGATAGGGTTAAGTCATTCTACAAACAACACAGAACAGATCAAAGCTCTGCAATTCTGCCACATGCAGCCATGAATAGTAGTGCACAACTAAGCAAACAAGCAGAGGAAGCAACTCCATAAATATTCCCATCCTCAATATTGAGCAGTAAAGCACAACATTGCAAAAGATGATGTTCAAGTATATCCATCAACTTAAGCCAGAAGTGCCAAGAACATTGATCCAGCTTGGCCTCCTCTCGAGTACCCCAGCATCACACATGTCAATCTTCAGCTGATTCAATTTAATTTACATGGCATCAAGAAATGGCTGGAGTCACTGGCTACTGTCAAGGCTATGAGTTCTGAGACTATCCTGGCAGTAATTTTGAAGACTCCTGTTTCAGAAGTAGTCATTCCTCCAGTCAAGCTGTTTTAGTACATTAACCTCTACCCAATAATGTGGAAAATTACTTTAGTAATCCACTCCACAGAAAAAACACAGCAAATATAATCTAGCCAATTATTGTCCAATCAGTCTGCTCTCAATCATCAATGTGGCAGAACATGTTATTGATATTGTGATGAAGTTACACTACAAAAGCTGCTCACCGATGTTCAGTTGGATTCCACCAACCATTCCTTAGCTCCTTGTAGTGCTTAGTAGTTTTGATCTGATTGGCCTGTTCACTGATCTTTGTTATAGTGCCCGATTGCTTAAACCTGTGGATATTGCTGGTGAGTCAAGGGTCGGGAATCACAGAACCAGTTTATACTTCTGACAGTCAAAAGAGCCACTTAACAGAAAAAGAAACAGCCATGGACAACTAATGGGATAAGGGACAGCATAAAACTATACTCACTGCAATTCAAAACAGCACAGAAACAGGCCCTTTGGCCCACCAACTAAACAGAAGAACTCATAAAAATTCAAAAAACAACACAGGAACTGTCAAATGGGAAAAATGCAAAGACCAGCAAAGGCCTACAAAGCATCTTATGAGAGCTATTAAAAAGCATTATGAAAGGAACTTGCAAGGCACATCAAAATCAATAAGAATAACTTTTATAGTTACATAAAGGGAAAACTGGTGGTCAGGAGCAAATTTGACTGACTAAAGACTGAAAGTGGGGACATTGTCAATGACTATGGAGAAAAGGCAGATGTGTTGAATAATTACTTTGCCTCAGTATTTACAGTGGAAAAGAAGTCCTTAGAAAATTAATACTGGATCACGAACAAGGTCTAGATAAAATTAATGTATTGTATTGTAGATTATATTGTAGATGCCTTATAATAAACTTGCAGAATTCCCGAGATGCAGTAGTTGTCTCTCTGGTTTGGAAAATTTCACATGTCACTCAGTTTTTTAAGAAGGGCAAAGGAGAAAAATTAAGGAATTGCAGGTCAGTTAGCTGAACATCAGTGGGAGGGAAATTGTTGGAGAGTATAATCAAGGAAGGAGTAACTGTATACCTCAAAAATTTTTGGTTCACTGGGAGATCCAGTATAGATTCATGACAGGTAGGTCATGCCTGACAAGCCTCGATGATAATTTTTTAAAAGTAACTAAGGGAGTGGACAGGGGAATGCCTTTGGATGTTGTTTATATGGACCTTCAGAAGGCATTTGATAAAGTCAAACCTAAGAGACTATTATCTAAGGTAGAAGCCTGTGAAATTGAGGGAAAATTACTAACATGGCTAGGAAATTGGTTGAGTGGCAGGTGACAGAAAGTTTGAATAATGGTCAGGTACTCAAATAACTGGACGTGATACTGGTGTCCCACAAGAATGTGTGTTACGGCCTCAATTATTCAGATTATTTATTAATAATTTGGTTAATGGCCTAGAAAGTCATATATCCAAATATGCTGATGACATACAAAGTTAGACAGCATTGAGACTGTGTAGATAACATCATAAAACTACAAAGGGTTATTAGGTGAATGGTTAAATCTGTTGCAGATGGATTTCAACATAAGCAAGAGTGAGGTTATCCATTTGGATCAATAAAGGATAGATGAGTGTATTTTCTAGATGTTATTAAGTTAAATATAGTGGATATCCAAAGAGACTTGGGGTTTGGGTGCATCGATCTTTAAATTGCAAAGAACAGGCACAGAAAATAATCAAGAAAGCCAGTGGACTGCTGGCCTTTAGATCTAGAGGTATCGAGTATAAGAGGTATCAGATGTTTCAAACAGTTATACAAAACCCTAGTTAGACCCCACTTTTAGAGTATTGTAACCAGATTTGGGTACCACATCTTAGGAAGGCTACATTGGCGTTGGAGTGAATACAACGTAGGAATAAAAGAATGATACCTGGACGTCAGGGGTTAAGTTATGAGGAGATATTAAGACCATTAGACCATAAGATTTAGGAGCAGAATTAGGCCATTCGGCCCAATGAGCCTTCACCAGTCGATCATGGCTGACATATTTCTCAATTCCACTCTCCTGCCTTCTGCCCCTACCCCTTGATCCCCTTATAAATCAAGAACCTTATCCATCTGTGCCTTAAATACACCCAATGACTTGGTCTCCACAGTCTTCTGTGGCAATAAGTTCCACAGATACACCACCTTCTGGCTGAAGAAATTTCTCATGTTGTTCCTTCACTCTGAGGTTGCGCCGTCAGGCCCGAGATGGACATCTTCTCCATGTCCATTCAATCTGGGCCTCTCAGTATTCCATAAGTTTTAATGAGATTCCCCTTCATCCTTCTTAACTCCATTGACAACACACCCAGAGTCCTGGTGTGTGCTCCTCATATGACAAGCCCTTCATTGCAGGATCAATCTTGTAAACCTCCTCTGGATCCCCTCCAAGGCCATCCTTCCTTAGGTACGGGGCCCAAAAGTGCTCACAATATTCCAAATGTGGTCTGACCAAAGCTTTATAAAACCTCATCAGTACATCTCTGCTCTTGCATTCTAGCCATCTTGAAATGAATGCTAACATAGCATTTGCTTTCCTAACTACCAACTGAACCCACATGTGAATGATTTGTATTTATTGTCATGTGTATTTAACAGTGAAAAAACAGTAAAGTACACTGAAAAGCTTTTCAACTGTTGCCATGTTTTGACACCATTTTGTATAGTTCAATAAGAAAAAAAGCAGAAAGATACAGCTTAAAGAGAGTCCATCAGTTCTGAGCCAGCTCATTATCAATGACGTCTGCACCACCATCACTTCTCCACTACTACGCCACCGCCTACACCGGACCCACTAATGTCAGAGTCGCATCTCTCGTCGCTGGGCCAATCTCGTTGATGGCGCTGTGTTGCCCTTCCAACGCCAGCAATGCTGGACCCAACAAACAATGAAGTCGCTGATCCACAGAGAGCATCTTTCATCACTGGGCCTACCCTGCTGATGTCGTTTTTACCGATGCCAGGTCCCATGTTCAACCCAGCAAAGAAAGTAAGGGCTCATTTGAGTCCGCTCTGGGCTTATTTGCTACCGCTACAAGGTCCGTGCTGGACCCACTTGCCACCAGTGCCGAAGCTGTCTGAGCTCAGAACAAGAGGTAAGTAAAGGAAAAAAGAAGAAAAAGAAACAAGAAATGGGAAAAGAAAGAACAGAAAAGTGGTCGGAGCGGACGAGCCTCGGATCAGGAGGCCTTCTCCACCGCGATCTTGTTAACCTTATTATACAAATAAGGTCTGTTTTCTCCAGATTTTAGAAGGTTAAGGGGGTGATCTGATTGAAGTCTTCAAGATAATAACAGGAAAAGACAGGGTAGATAAAGATAAGCTATTTTAGCAGATCCTAGAACTAGGGGGAATAGTCTAAACACTGGGGCCAGGCCATTCAGGGGAGATGTTAGAAAGCACTTCTACACACAAAAGGTGGTAGGGATTTGAAACTTTCTTCCACAAATGGCATTTGATGCCATTATTGTTAATTGTTAATTTGTTAATTTTAAATCTAAGATAGATAAATTTTATTTAAGCAAAAATATTAAGGCATATGAGCCAAAGGCTGGTATTTGGAGTTAGGCCACAGATCCGTCATGGTCTCATAGAATGGTGCACAGACTTTCATATGTTCTTATGTTCATTGACAGAACCTTGTAACATGTAATTTCCACAACTTAGTGAACAAGGAAAGCAGGCACATTGGAATACTACCACCTGCAAGTTCTCTTTGATGCCACACATTATCCAGACTTGGAACTATATTGCCGCTCCTTCATTATTGTTGGAAACTTCCTTCCTAACAGCACAGTGGAGGTACCTACAACACACAGACTGCAATGGTTCAAGAAGGCGACTTACCACCACTTTTGTAATGACAATTAGCGATGGACAAGTTGGCTTAGTCTGCAATGCCCACATCTATGAAAGAACAATAAATTCTGCGTCGAATGTTATTTTTATTATTTTGCCAAGTGTTTGCTTTTGTTTCTGTTCCAAGTGCTTTCTTCAGTTAAGTGCTCGAGGGCATGATGGAGGTCAATGTCAAAGTGGTGTGCACTGCTCATTTCTTCATTCCCTGTCACTAGATAGTTGTATTGCACATGACAGACAATATCAAAGTCTTACTGCCCCAAGGTAGAAGCATTCCATCTGGTAGGCTCACTTCGAACTGACAAAACCCATTATAATATGGCTGTTGCATTTTATAGTGCCAACAGTGGAACTGCAACCTTCTGCCACTGACTTTTTTGAAAACCCACATAATGATTGTTTGGATTACGCTATGTTTTCTTTAATTGTATGAAATATAGTGATTCAAATCTGAACGATTCATTGAATTCTCACTAACTGGTTAGAAATCGGTACTGCATTAAGTCATGTTGACATCCTGTACAAAATTAACACTTGAAAGGACATTTTCAGTTTCTGTGCTTGATTCCCCACATACAGCAATTTTAAAATGTGTTACCATGTGCCTGACGTGCACACCGCTTATCATATATTTATCAGGATCCTATGGTGAAAAGAACTTGCATTGGCATTCCAGCTGCCAACAGAGTAGCTTAATGAAACCTGGCTTGAAAGTAACAGGGATCCTATTGGATCAGTGGTAAGTACTCTCTTATGAAATCGGAATTGTTCCTTTGAATCTCACAAATTAAGTTTGGATCTCTATGGTCCCAGGCTTCCTACCATGATGTTTTGCCAATTCATCTCCTCCCCCAGTATTTGCCTCACCTGTTAGCTGACAGCCTGTGTTCAGTCACAACTACCAATATTCTTCAGTTTGCAACAACTGGCCAGTGATTCACCTACGTGTTTGGAGTAGACAGCTGGCTGTTGCATGTAAATGAGGCCTGGTCAGTAAAAAACCCACCAAGGAATTAAAATTTTCCTTTACATTTTTCACTTCCTCCAATTTTTCTCTCCATTCCTGAAGGCACTGATTCCATTTAATGTACGGTTCTACAGGTATTAAGTATTCATTCATACTTCACTCAACTATTTTTTTTTCCAATTCTGAGCATAAGGTGGTTTTTCAATCTTGAAGCTGTCAAATCTGAGTCTGATCTAGTCTTCACATGGTGTGTACACTTTTCAGCTTCAATATCTACAGTGGAAACCCTAGATGGATTTTGCTCTCCCTAGCCAAGAAACACTTAATGAAATGTTTTTAATCTCTTGTTGGACATGGGCATCACTGGCTGGCCAACATTTATTGTCTATGCCCTTGAGAAGGTGATGCTGAGCTGCCTTCTTGAACTGCTGCAGTTGACCCACAGTGCCCTTAAGGAAGGGAATTCCAGGATTTTAACCTAGTGACAGTGAGTTAAGCAATAAATCACCTCTGCCCTCAGCTTCGCTAAACTCAACTTATCAGCACAACCCAGAAATCAAGTGTTTGTATGAGTCTATCCAATATAGTCCTGCACTGGATTATGTATTTTCCAATTG